AATATGTGAATTTATTTTTACACCCATTTGATTTTTAACTCTATTTTTTGCTTGTATATACTACTCTATGCAGCTTTTGTATTAGGACTTTTGGGCAATACTATTTGCACCAATAGCTACATTGATGCCATGATTTTGGGTTGTAGTCAGACTACACCGACAGAGAAGAAAAAAAAATATAAAAACAGAAGAAGCAAACGGAATCCAAGATGCTTGCAATATCTGCAAGTGAGATTATATTCACACACCATAAATTACTTCTCCCATATATTTTTAATTTTTTAATATTTTTCTATCAAGTGTTAGTGGTGTGTAGAAAATATTAAAAAAATTAAAAAGATGTGAGAGAAATAATTTGGAGTGTATGAATATAATCTCTTTATCTGCAAGTCTTTTTGGTTTTTTGGGGTGCAGTCTTTGTATTAGGACTTTTAGGCAATACTATTTGCACCAATAGCTATATTGATGCCATGATTTTGGGGTGTCATGAGACTTCACCGACATAGAAGGAAAAATAAAAAATAAAAACAGAAGAAGCAAACGGAATCCAAGGTTCTTGCAATATCTACAAGTCTTTTTGGGTTTTTGGGGTGCATATAAACAGTGGGAGGCCGACTGCAACAATTTGTGTTGCATAAAGATAAACAAATTATGCGGGATTGATTGAAAAAAAAAATTAAAACCAAAATACTCATCTTCTAAACTCTAAAAAAACTGAAATCAAGCGAACAAAAAATTCATAAATTGAGTCATACCTTGGTTAGAGAATTCAAAACTTCAAAATCATCATCCATCAATAAAAAAAATTTATTTTTTTCTCTATGAGAGCTATTAGGATTTTAGCCGGAATGAACGTAGGATCAATAAAGAGTGATTGTAGGGTTTAATTATAGTGTTTGAGTTTATTGATAAATTTGAATTTTATTATTAATTTCATTTTGTATTTAATAATAATTATACAATATGGTAAAATAAACAATTAACATTTAAAATTTAAAATTAAATGTAAAAAAAGTTTATATGGGTTTAAATAAAATTTCTCTTTCTATTTATCTTGAGTATGGCCAACTGGCCAACAAATTGTGAAAGAGGAAGGAAAAGAAATCTTGATGTAAATTTTGGACCACAAGTCAATCGTAAACCGTTAATTAATACGTCAATTTGCTGAGCAAAGAATTGACGGTTGAACGTGACACCGTTGATAATTGTCTACCTTCAAATCTAATGGAGATTTCCTAGACTCCATTGCGTAAGAGTCAATTCTCATTTAGAATGGCCCTCATCTTCTTCACTAAAATATTTGTGGACTAACCATAACTTCTGGGAGAGAAAAACTTGTGTAAGGGTACCAGGGTCATGCCATCCGTAATAAAGTTTTTACTTAATGTGAGACGTGTCATACAGGATTCTGAAAGGTGCTAATAGGGCGGCCGGCAGAAGCCTAGCATCTAGGTGTTTAGGCGGGATTTAGGCAGAGACTAGTTTTTTAATTTTAATTAAATTTATTATATAACATACAAATGAATGTCTACTTGTATTTGGAAAAATATACATAATTGTATTAGCATACATAAATTTCAAAATAGAATGACATATGAATTATGAAGTATTAGAATATATCGAAAACATGAGGAACAAACATATAATGAGCGTTTATGCAAGTATTCAACAAGTCTTTTACAATTTATTGAAAAAATAAAATGCAAAATAAAAGTTATATATTTTCTCTCTAAGTGAAGTTGGCGACCTAAATAGGTGCTTAGATGGGTTAAGCGGGTGCCTAAGCAAATCTAGGCGTGTTTTCTTAATTTCCAGATTTTTAGGAATTAATCGAGACGGTGGCTAACCGCCTAACACCTAAGTGAGGGCCTAAACGGTGCTAGACGGGAATTATAACAGCAGTGGACATAATCAAGCAGCCTTACAAATTGGTTTCGTGGTTTAATTGAATATATGTTAGGTTGGTTTTTTATCTCTTTGTTAAAGCCACAAACCGTTAATCAATCAAGAATGATTAAGACGGTTTTGACATGATGTTTAAGTCCACCCTCAAAGGCCTAATCTCATTGAATCATAACATACTTCTAAGTTTAACAATAATTCTAACTAGTTTTATTGTTTTCTTCTAAAATTCTACACAAGAAAATTACAAGTTACTGTGAGACTTGTTTTGTTTTCATAAAAAGTTCATGATATACATATATAGCAATACTGATATATATATATATATATATATATATATATATATATATATATATATATATATATAATGAGAGGGTGTGGGAAATAAGAGAAAGGTGATTGAGATCGACTCCGAATCTCAAACTCCAGGGCAGGTGGATTCAGCAATCTAGACAATTCAAGAGAGAGATGAAGCAGAGAGAGAAAAATGAGGACGTGGTTTTGCATGTGAGGTGAACCAGTAAAATGAGGTTAATAGAAGCCGCTAATTTAAATCAATAGTCCAGATTAATAAATTTATCGGCTTCAGAATTTTAAAATTCGAAGATGATCTCAATCCAGAAAAATGAGGCATGCTAGGTTCGACAAAAGTAAAATTGGAAATAATGCATGTTGGTCAAATTTATATGATATCTCTTTTTCAGAGTTGGAGTTATATGGGGGCACATTTTAGCAACTTGAAATTGAGAATTGGCCACGTCTCAGAGATAGAAAAAAAAAAGAATCTTTCATCTTTCCATTTAAATTGAGACATACCATTGCATATTGTCAAAAAGAGTTACGTGATTGAATTTGCGGAAACTTGCATACATTTGTTGTTTGTTAATTTAATGCCTTCCTTGCATATATATATATATGATTATGCGTTTTTTATGTGATGTTCCATGCAACAAGGTACAAGTGCATGCAAGGTTTTCTCCGGTAAAAAAATATGCAAGTTTGCAAGAGTAAATATGTTGTTGGTATTGGAAACAGCTTCATTGGTTTACTTTAACAGGTGATTATTCAGATCATGCTGGTATATGTACTCGATTATAGTTGAGAACTGAGTTTGCATGTGATGGTGGTAGTTTGAGAATGTCTATGGGCCTCCAAAAGTTTCTAAGTTTCACCCCCTCCATGATTGCCATTGTCTTTCTCTCTCTCTTTCTCTCTCTTCATCAGCAGTAAGTGATTCAGAAACAGTAGTGAGAGATGAGAGAGAGAGAGCTTGAGATTTTTTGCTCAAGCTTGTCCTAGATGACAAAGAACCCATCCCTTCAATTCCAAAGTGGTCCTCCTTTCTCAATTGATAATTTGACAACCTCTCTCCTTATCCTACACACACCTTCTCTCTTCTGTTCCCTAACCCTCTAATCCTACGCACCCTCTCTCTCTCTCACTCCCTCCCTCTATCTCCTTCTCTCTCTAAAACCCACTAACCAGAAAGAAAGTGAATCCAACTCCTCACCATTTTCACCATTTTCCCATTCTCTAGCTACACCAAGAGCTACCTTCTTCTGCAAACCCTAGTTCTCAAAACCCTAATTCTCCAAACGTAAAAAACCATGTCGAGTTCTAGCGTTTGGAGCAAAGAAGAAGACAAAGCGTTCGAGAACGCAATTGCCATGCATTGGATCGATGAAAATTCAGAAGAACAGTGGGAAAAGATTGCTGAGTTGGTTCCAAGCAAAAGCATGGAGGAGTTAAAGCAACACTACCAAATGCTAGTCGACGACGTGGGTGCAATCGAGGCGGGGCGAGTGTCCCCGCCTAACTACACAGCTGATGAAGCTGCTAATACAGTATCGTCCAGTAAGGACAGTGGCCATCGTGCTTCTTCTTCCGGGACTTCGGCTTCTGATAAGAGATTGAATTGCGGTCACGGAGGTGGGTTTTTGGGTTCAGGTCACGACTCCGCTAGCCATGGCGGTAAGGGAGGATCGAGGGCGGACCAAGAGAGGAAGAAGGGGATACCGTGGACTGAAGAAGAACACAGGTACACTCGTTATATTGCTTTTGCTCATATATAAATCTCTATTTTCAACTGTCGTCGCGTGTAAGTTCGTATTTAGGAAGGACGCATTTGAAGCATACTTACTAATTTGAAAGATTTGCCTTTAAGTTTGGAATTAGGTCAAGTCAGATTCAGGAAAAAAACCATGTGGGATATGCAAGTGTGGGGAGATCAATGTGGGGAGATAAGCAAGTGTAGGCAATTTGACATTATTAATGTCGAGAAAGCGTTATTGTTTGTTTATTGTCCTTCAATTCTGTTTCCGATTAAAAGTTTGTAACCAGTTTTATTTTTTCATCAGGTTATTTCTACTTGGTCTAGACAAGTTTGGGAAAGGGGATTGGAGAAGCATTTCAAGAAACTTTGTCATTTCCAGAACTCCAACTCAAGTAGCAAGCCACGCACAAAAATATTTCATCCGTTTGAACTCCATGAACAGAGACAGGAGGAGATCAAGCATCCATGACATTACAAGCGTCAACCACGGAGACGTTTCATCTCACCAGCAGCCGCCAATTACCGGGCAGCAGACCAGTACGTACGCGCCAACTGCGGCCACCACGATAGGAGTAGGAGTAGGACCGCAGTCGGTGAAGCACGGGCCTCAGCCACACATGGCAGGTTTAGGGATGTATGGAGCACCAATGGGGCACCCGGTTTCTGCTCCTCCGGGGCATATGGCGTCCGCCGTGGGCACTCCAGTTATGCTTCCTCCAGGCCACCACCCCCATGCCCATCCTCCATACGTCGTCCCAGTTGCTTACCCAATGGCACATCCAACAATGCACCAATAACAAAACAGTATTTTTCTTCCTATTTATTAGGGTTTTCAGGTCTCAAGTGGGTTTGAAAGGGAGCAATAATACATAGTAGAGCAGAAGGCAGAGAATAAGTACTGAGAAGTAGTACTAATTTCTATTCGAATCATATTTTTTTCGTAGAAACATCCCGAAATTAAAGCTGCATTCCTCGTTGTAAAGACAGATTTGTTATCGGGGTCTTGCCGGAATATATTTACGCGAGATAGAGAGAGAGAGAGATCTGTACTCGAATTGAAATTCATAAGTTCTGATAATGTATGATTAAAACATCATCGCTTGGCAAAAAAGCGAACGGAAGCGGTATCAATACATCGTTCCTGAGCTAGCTGTTTACAAAAATGCATCAAACTACACGGGGAAGCATATGTGCTTACGATCAGCAGGGTCGATCACCAATCCTTCCGGTTTACATGGAAATGCCCGTTTAAAAGATGATACAATAGAGCTTTCCTTCCCCATTTCCAAAACAATGGTGCAAGAGTCCGCCGGCTCTTTTTAATTTGCTTTTCTGCAGGCAAAGATAGAAAGGAATGTGAATTTTTTTACGCTGCGCTAAATTAACTCCATACAGCGGAAGGAAAGAGAGAGAGAGTTCCTCACTTTTGTTTTGAACAGAGTACGTTTTCATTTGTGACTGCAATTTCGTAAGGCTGGATCCGAGAGCAGGCCAGTATTTATTTTGAATTTGAAGGACCTCCAGAACGGTTTGTAGGCCGGATCTGGAAGGTAAAGTGGTGTCCAATTCACATCCTGGACTTTCACCCAGCAATACCTATCTCACAGATAGACAAATCAGAAACATATTTCGCATATCCAGATAGAAATGTATTTTGGTCTTTGCGTGATTTGTATGAAATGGTTACCTTGATTACTGCAGTAGCAGAAGACGATATTGAACGGAGATTGTAACTGCAAAAAGCAACATTATCCAATTAAATTTTCTCAGGTTAGATACATATATGTAGCAAGGTGTGATCCACTAAGAGAGAAGAAATTAAAAAAAAAAACGAATCACAAACCCGCCCTCAAGAATAACAAGCATCTTTCCTCCAGACAAGTCAGACAACATGTGTGTCATCTTTTCATAGCCCGCAGGAGTAACCTACAACAACAAAATCATTAAAACGTAAGACACACTAAGAGAATACAAGTCCAGCAATGTGCTCGTCTGCAATGAAATGACTAAGTCCTTACATCACAGCATCCCAGTGGATCACCTCGTGCTGCATCAAATCCTGCTGATATGATGGTGAAATCGGGAGCAAACTCAGAAGCTGTAAAAATTTCAGAAATCGCTTATATCAGAGAATCAAATCCAAACCGTCGCAATTGTCTAAAGAAAACATTAGGTATTCACGAGGACATATGTCCCAAAACGGACAGAATAGTTAAATAGCAAAGTTCCCTGTTATCATTATGATACAAGTTTCGTGTTAGGAAATAACAACCTATAGGAAGCACAACATGCTGAAATGCATATATGTAATCATTGTCACCAACTCCACCACAACTCCATGGAACGTTCACACAGTATCCTTCAGCCCCCATGGTTCCAACCTGAAATAGTAATCACGTAATCCCATTAGATATAGTCCAAAATATTATAGAATAATATGAAACTGAAAAGGAAAACAAAAACCAATTGCAATCAGTTTAGTACCTCGTCAGCAGCTCCAGTGCCAGGATAAAACTTCCCTCCTTCATGTCTATGTAAGGATATATACAAGACCTAGAAAATGAGCTCAACTTATCAGCACTAAAATCTAAATAAATGCATAACGCAAACAGACTGGACATTCCAGTTACGGTTTTAAATACAAGGTTGCTCACCGATTTGTTCTGATCAAATATTTCTTGTGTGCCATTCCCGTGATGAACATCCTGCAGGTTTTATTGATTACTATTTCAGGTTTGAACATATCTACATATAAGCAGCTCACAAAACACTGTAATGAGATAAATACATTAGGGTATAAACCTTACCCAATCAACGATTAGCACTTTCTTAGCACCAGAAACCTGACCTGCTAATGCAGCAACTGCTGCATTATTGTGGAGGCAAAACCCCATAGCCTGTCTTACACCAGCATGATGACCAGGAGGCCTAACCTGAGTCATCCAGTAATGTGCGTAACTTTAATAAGAACTGTGATTTTCAAAGAGTTCTCATTACATCGATAATTCTGAAACAGACGAAGTAAGAGAAAGGTTATGTACAAGGGCAAAACCATTTTTGGCACGTCCAGAAACAATTGCTTTAGCAAGATCAGCACATAAACCTGCTGCAAGTCTAGCAGCACGTGCTGAATGTTCATTGGCATATGTGTCAGGGGTGAAATAACTGCCAACAATACATAATTTATCAATTAAAAGACAACATCAATAAATCATACTATCACAAATGCAATCTCCCAGAGAGAGAGAGAGAGAGAGAGAGAGAGAGAGAGATGCGCAAATAAACATACCTTGAAAACATATGGCCTGTATGGTCAACTGATTCAATATGCTCCAAAGAATGGACCTTTATTTTAAAAAAGGAAAAAATAGAGCCAACAATTACAAAATCATAGACCAAGGGAGACGATAAATATTATAACTGTCATTTGTTTCCTTTTACCATTAACTAGCCACACAAAGTCCTCGTCTTTAGCATCTTGACAATGCAGAAAAAGGTTTGTTATGAAATGAACTACAAACCCCCTCCGAAATCAGGACTCAACTTACAAAGATCCAATTTCCTTAGTCGTTCACAGACAAAATGGCAACAGGTCAGATGTTTGATGAATGGTTACTTACCATCTGAAGTTCTTCGCGAGTGATTTCTCTAGCAGGAATTGGATGGCACCTTCCTGGAAATATACCTGCATAGGTTGAATTTTCCCATTGTGTATCAGTTTAAAACAAAATAACACCAACATCCATTACTAGACAAAGTACTAACAGCACGCCAGAATACAAGCTCTCAATAGCAACAATTGACATGCAAAAAGAACTTCAGTGAAGGTAAATACCAGCTGTAGCAAGGCTAGCAGCAATGGCTCGAATACGATCTGGTCTTTCTGGGTGCGGATGTGAGTTCATTTGAACCTACTCTAGCATAACAACCACCAGAAAAGAAAAATAAAAGTATTACACAAACAGAAATGAGCAGTTTCCAACTTACCACATTAGTGTCACAAAATAAATGTATATTAAACGATTTAGCAAATTTATAGTACTTTAATATTACTGCAGTTTGGGTTTTTACATAAGGATAGACATGAAACTTCTTGTAAAACTGCTTTGTAGATCTCCACTTAAGTTATATGTAATGAAGAAAGAACACCTATTTGCATCTAAACAACACACAGACAAAAAAGAACAATAAATGAGAACTAACAAAGAGTATGAGGAAGACATGTATTGCAGCAACACCATACTTCTGAATGTAGCAACATTCTCTCATCGAAACCTACAGCAGTGGAACTCTTTGACGCTGAATCTTGGGAGCCTGCATTTACCAGAAAAATATAATTAAAAACCAAAACAACACATTAACGCCATAGTGATACAAATTTGGAAGTTTACCAAAATTCATCATCATTCATCAGTTTTGACAGACACAGACTTAGAGTGATACTATGCTAATATGCAATGCACCAAGTCACGACAGACACACTTAGAGTGATACTGAAACATATCACACCAAACGACCCACCCACAAACAAATATACTTGTAGATCAAAATGATGAAAACTTTTGCTGCTATATCTGGAACCAATATTCAAACTTAAAGAGGCAACAATAATGATTCATCCCAAACAATAACATTAGCTAGGCAATAAGACAATGAAAAATCTCAAAAGATTATTCTTGCGAGAAATTTTCAAACATTGACACACCAACCATTTGAAATAAACTCAATAGTCATCATGTACCGACCTTTGTGTCTTTCTCTAGTGTCAGACATAGTCTCAGTGGGGCTTGAATCAAAGGCAGATGCGAAACACCCCTGCCTCAAGATACCAGATTCTCTATGTTCTCGACATACCTGCACAGTAATAACAGCTATGCCTCCTTACATGCAGACAGATGATATATCAAAGGCAGAATAGTACGAATGGGAAGAACATACATCACAATGATCAATATCACCAAGATTGGGCATTGTACAGTTGGTGCAGAACCATTTCATTACTTCTACATGCTGTTGGAAGGGATCCCAATCGCTATCATCATCCTCGTCATCGAGGTCTTGGTTGTACATGTCTTCTAATGTCATTTCCATTTGCTCTGCTGCCTTTTTCTACAAAACAATAAATTTCAATCTCTAAACACAATCATTACACGCTATATAAAGCACGAAAACTGTTCCAAGCAACTACATTCTCGAATGTGAGTCATATATCGAAGTGCCACTGCCACTTACACTTAAAACATCAGTTGGTGCATCTTTTCCAGATACTCCTACATCTCCTTCCCCACAATTTTCCTCACGACACGGTCTAGATTTCGTTCCGTGAGAGCCCGAGCTTCCACATCTCCCATTAGAGCCTTGACATTGAGCTTGGTTGTTTGGTTTGTGAAGACTTTTCTCGGCCGCCCCATTTGCTAAACGACCCATTGAAAGTGCTTCTGGTGCTAAGTTGTTTTCTGAGCTTACATGGGCACTTTCAGCCACAATCATTCCTTTAAAAATTCCCAAAAAAGTTTAAAAATTTCATCCATTTTTCCATGTAACAAAATTATATTTCACATCTTGCATAATTTACCGTTTCAAATTTAAAAAATTTCGATCATTGTCTTAAAAAAAAAACGCAACTGTAGCAGAGATACTTCAAGATTTGAACTCTGTACTATACAGTAATATTGATTGTGGGTGTGAAAAAACCCTAGATTGTACTGAACGCGGATATACATATATATATATATATACATGCATATATGTATAGGTCTGTGAAATATACGAATGAAAGGAGGAAGAAGGAGGAGATGGAGTGCTAACGTTACCTGGGGTAGGACAGCTTGGGGATCTTACTGTATCAGCAAATTCCGAAGGGAAAGCAGAAGCTCAGAAGCCCAGTAGGTTGCGAGCTATGAACTATCCGATTGACTGTTTTTTTTTTTGCAATTATACCCTTATAGTTTATTATTTTCAATTATTTTTCTCAGAAAAGTTGTGTGTTTTTCATTATATGCCTAGTCAATGGTTTGCGGACTCTATTTCTAGCTAGGATTTTTGGTTGAGTTTGAAAGTTCAGATTCTACTTTCACTAAAACTTTTTTCAGTTATTTTAAAAGCACTTATAAACATGCACACATCTTTGTGGCATCCAAATTTGTTGATGCACAAAATCAGAGGTCTTGGAATAACGTAAATCCAACCGTAAATCTGCAAGTAATGTAAATAACACAAGATGTATCGTGGTTCACCCCAAAGTTCAGGCTACGTCCCCACACTAATATTGTATTTCTAAGGAAGAGAGAGCTCTGAGAGGATGAGAGGGCCTAGGAATTGGCATCCCCTAATTGTGAGGGTGAGGAGTCCTTTTATAGAACAAAGGCTCCTCACTTATTATATATTTGCTCATTTCTTTATTACATAATTACATTTAAGTCCCATGAGTATTGTACGAGATCTAAATACGAAGGCCCTAAATATGGTATAAACAGTAGTCCCCCAAGTCTTCAGTCAAGAGAGTCTTTTGGTTGGAGACTTGAAATTCAGTCCATGTGTGGGCCGAAGTAACTAGATGTTGTCTTGAACTGATGCTCGATATGAGGCGGTGCTCAATCTGAAATGATACTCAACTAGAAGTAGCACATGCTGCGAGACTGCTCGGCTCGTGGCTTATGTTGCCCTGGTTGGCTCGGCTTGTGGCATTGAAGGTAAGGGAGTCCCTTTTATAGAATAAGGGCTCGCTCCTCAATACATGAATGATAGGCTAGAGTTGATGCTCTCTAATGATGGTGAGGGAGTCCCTTTTATAGAATAATGACTCATTCCTCAATACATAAGTGATGGGTGCTTTCTAATGAAAGTGAGGGAATCCCTTTTATAGAATAAGGGCTCGATCCTCAGTACATAAATAATGGGCTAAGTCCCCCAGGTATTTTTCATGAGGCCCAGTTGAGGACCAATATATAGTACATAATGTAGTCCCCCAAGTCTTCGGTCAATAAAGTCTGTTGGCTGGAGACTTCAGATTGAATCTATGTATGGACCGAAATGGCAGTTGTTCGGAAGCGGTATTTGTATATCCTACACTGAAGCTTTGTAGGTGAAGCTTTGCAAGTGAAGCTTTGAAGCTGGAGCTCTGTAAATGAAGCTTTTGAAGCTAGAGCTTTGTAAATGAAGTTTTTGAACCTAGAGCTCTGTAAATGAAGCTTTTGAAGCTAGAGCTTTGTAAATGAAGCTTTTGAAGCTAGAGCTTTTGTAAAATAAAGCTTTTGAAGCTGGAACTCTGTAAATGAAGCTTTTGAAGCTAAAGCTCTGTAAATGAAGCTTTTGAAGCTAGAGCTTTTGTAAATGAAGCTTTTGAAGCTGATTGACATGAGTGATGCTCATGAATGTTTATGTTGATTGATATGAGTGATGCTCATAGATGTTGACATGAGTGATGCTCATGAATATTTATGTATGATTGATATGAGTAATGCTCATGAATGTTTATGTATGATTGACATGAGTAATGCTCATGTATAATTTGGGAGTACTGGACGTACTTTTGATCACCTGGTTGGTGGTAATAGCGGCAGGTTGCCGAATAATTTTGGAGTACTGGGCGTACTTTTGATCACCTGGTTGGTGGTAATAGCGGCATGTTATCGAATAATTGTGGAGTACTGGGCGTACTTTTGATCACCTAGTTGGAGGTATTTTGGGCTTATGGACCTTCGCCCTCTACACAACATTCAGCCCATTTATTTTGGGCTTTGTCGTTTTTTTTAATTACCCTCTGATGGGGTTATACAGATGTCTCCGAAAAATAAGAAAAATAAATTACATCATACAAAAACAATAAAAGCAAATCACATCATTCTGGTGGGGTGTTTATTCCTTGTTTTTGCTTTCTCTTTTGCTTTCTGCTTTGCTTTTTTTTCCTCTTTTGCTTTTTTCTTTTCCGTTGTCCGCCATGTGCTCCCCCATGATTCTCCCTTCCGTTCAAATGATTCTCCTCGCTGGCCTCCACATGCACGTTCATCTCCCTCACATGCAGCTCCCCACCTTCGGTCCTCTGCCCGAGGTACATCTTTTCTCTGTGTGTGATTGAAAGCATCTGAATCTGGCCTGAGAAAACTCAAATAATAATATCTCTTTATCGGACAAATACCGATGAGGATCTGGAAACGAAAGGTGCCATGTCTCTTTCTCATGTACCTTTATCAGACGACAGCAGAGATATGCATCTTGTAGCAACAGGATGAGGAGTTGAGGACGAAGATGACGAACGACGTCGCCAGAGTAAGCTCGAAGAAGCTTTCGAAATCAAGTCATTCAAGCGCATACTCAGCGCCTACCTCAACTACTCACCACCACCCGTGGTGCAACTCAACCACCGCCATGATCCTCCAAATCCTTCAAATCACATCCTTGTTCTGCTTCTTGATCTCCATGGGTAGGTCCAGCAAAGATCTGACCACTGATTTCATCTCCGACATCAGAGCCGGTGGGATTATGTGGCTCGCTGGCCTGAAGCATCCCCATGTCTCTGATGTTTCCCTTAGCTTCTTGTACTCTTCTGCATCTGAATAAATTTTCAGATCAATGGCTGGTATTGTCCTGCAATCTTACATATTATAAGTGATGAGCCAGAGAGTTGGCTAATCCCACCACGATCCCCATCTTCACCTGACCCCTATTCGGACTTTGCTGGCCGGAAAATCTCCTCGATAAATCTTCGCCGTTCATCATCGCTTTCCCGACGGTTGCAGTGGTTACGGAACCTTCCATCTTATCTAGCTCTTCTTCTTGTATAAAACCCTTTGAACTCTCTATGTTTTTGCGAAGTTCTGATGCAAAGTACAACACAAGTTGGTTTTGGGAGAAAACGCAGGAGATTTGACCGGAGACGATGCAGGGGATTGAGCCCCCGTCGAGGCCACCGAGAGGGATGCCATTAGGACCCAAAACAACGTCGCTGAATTGAGCCATTTGTAGAGAGAGAAACTCAAACAGAGATTTAAAGGGAGAAATAGAGGAATCTAGTGAGGGTAAGAGTTGAGAGGCGAGATGCTGATGGTGTTTGGATCAAAGGTGATTTCTGACATGCTTGTGGTCTTCTTCATCGGAGGCCTTGGTCTCTTCCCTAACAACATTCTTCTCTTCTCTGCTGAGATTTCTAGCAACTCCAAAAGGCTACAACTGCAATTCTCTCTAAAATCTAGAGAGAGAAAGAAGTAAGATGGATAGACATAGAGGAGGAGGGAATGTGGCTGTATTTCATCGATGCCGCTGTGAACGGGAGCTGAAGCGGAAGATCTGGGTTTTGCAGTGACTGTGCAGGTGTTTGGTTCTTGGGTTTTTGCAGATTCACAGTGGAGGTGAAAAAATGAAAGAGAACTGACACAACTTTTCGTATCGATTCCCATAGACAGCGCCAAATGTTGATGCACAAAACTGGAGGTCTTGGAACAACGTAAATCCGACCGTGAATCTGCAAGTAATGTAAATAACACAAGATGTATCGTGGTTCACTCGAAGGTTCGGGCTATGTCCACACTGATATTGTATTTCTAAGGGAGAGAGAGATTTGAGAGGATGAGAGGGCCTAAGAATTGGCCTCCCCTAATTATGAGGGTGATGAGTCCTTTTATAGACAAGGGCTCCTCAGTTATTACATATTTGCCCATTCCTTTATTACATAATTACATTTAAGTCCCCTGAGTATTTGTACGAGATCTAAATACGGAGGCCCTAAATATGGTATAAACAAAACTAATAATGTGATATTATGAGTATTAGCATTCTCATATAGCTTTTGAGCTGACATACCAAATGTGTAACGAAGAAGAGATTTGCATGTAACATGGATGTCAAAGTGGTCATATCCCAAATCAACCATACAACGTCATTTAAGAAAGAGCAAGTGACGACACGTGATAAATGAAGTCTTTGTTTCGTGCAAGATACACATACACAAGCAAGTAATGTGGATGTCAAGGTGGTTAGTATAACACAAGGCTGATACCATTTATATTCAAATTTACTAACAAAAAGTTTAGGGTTACTCTCACCACCAACGTCAAGACATACCCACAACTCGAGCCAGGAGGATTTACACTTGGCATCTAGCAGCCAGTTGCCACCAATATAGATTTACATAGGAATTTACAGATTGCGTGCCAACGATGATTGCTAGCAACGGAACTCGAACTTTGGTAGGGCGACACACAAGATAGGGACCTTACCAACTAAGACAACCCTCGTTGGCATTTACTAATAATGAATTCTTCTTGAAGTAATGATGGAATTATATATATCTGCAAAAAAAAAATTGTATAAAAGAGAATATGAAAGTCATTATCCATAAGATCTTCAACATCGTTTTTCAGATCTCACACTCAGGAGCTTACGGATCGAAAAATTTAGACCGTTTGAAAGAAAGAGATTTACGTTAGAGAGACATATGTATAAGGTATGATCGCAAAATTTAAATTAAACAGTCAAGATTTCTCAATCGGTGAGATCCAGAGAGAATCTCCTTTCCAAATTGAGAGGATCTGCCAGCGTGACCAGATCCACAGAGATAAAAAAATGAACCTTGTGTCCTGATTGGAAGATGTACCGTCACCATCTTTATTGGCTCTTTTTTTTCCCCAAAACAAGGTCACATACACGAGTGCATGGTGGTGATGTGTCCAGACAATACATGCACAAGGCCCATGCTCCTCATCATCATGTGGCTCAGGTTACCATTGCTCAACATTAGTCCCACCGACTATGATGACCTAACCTGCGAATCCTCGTTAGCTAGGTTGTGTGCCCGATGATAATTTATATGGTACTTATACATTGTTACAGAATATCTTATTTTAATAAAACGAGACTATTTGGACAAACCAAACTTACACATTTTATCTTATTGACATAAAATGCTAACATAGATGTACACTATGCCATGTAAGTCTTTATTCATGTGCCCACCTCCTTCATTCAACTTCCAATAAATTAACGTAGTTTAAAATATCGTTCTAAAAATAAAAAAAATAAAAAAACTTTTAAGGCACTAGGTTTATTTGGCATTGATGATATTCCACAAGGATGAAAATGAAGGATTAACTCTATGGAAAATTACAATTAGCATCATATTTCAAAAGGAAGTATAACAAAGAGTTGAAATGCCTTTCTTTTTGGTCTTTGAAAGAATGAACTGTGTGGCAACTAGCTGCTTTTAGAAAAAAAAAAAAACCAGAGGGATTCAATAACAATTCTATTGGAAGATATGATGAAAGTACCAAAATTTTATAATATCCAAATAAGAAATGAAAGTCGGTACAGATAGTTCATATTAACATTGAAAAATGAAAGAAAAATGAAGAAATAAGTGATTTTCAGAGGCGAATAGCTCGAAAAAATACACCAAATACTCGTCCTAAATTCCTAATCATGCCAACAAAGAAGCATAACAATGCATCTTCTGAAAACGTAGAGCCTTCCTCTTCCTTCTTTAAGAAACCCGCAACCCCGCTTCGACGAAAACCTTCTTTTCGAGGCTTCAACGGTGTTGGTATCGCTACTCTTCATCTCCATCTCTCTATTTCCAGAAAACTCTTTGAATTAGTTCTATGGCTCTTTCAGGTCAGTAGCTCTTCTGGGTGAGCTATTTTTGGATACAGGAAGGAAGGTTTCTTATAGGGAGGAAGGAAGGTTTCTTATAGGGAGAAGATAGTGTGGGATCCAGCCAGACCCAATTTGGGGGGTCCCAAAAAAAGGTATGAATAGATAATTAGTGGCTCTATTACTGGTCAGTAGTCAATAGTCATGCACCTTGGTCCTTTGGGGCCCTACTCTCTGGGCATGCCAAAGTGCCAACCTAGAAATAGAGAGATACACTAACTAGGTCACGTAGGAACTCCAATCACAAGAGTGTTAATGAATGATTCACTTTGGATCTCTGTGTTTAGAGCTCTGCATCATTCAATTTCAATAATACAATATTTATTAGTCTATTTTACTTGTTCACTACACAAAAATTCAAAAACTTAAACGGCTTGAACCACTTTCTCTTTCTTGAACGGTCCAGATCTCTTGGTTTGCAGGCTTCAGACACAAAGATTCAAAGTTAATCTCATTCTGTTAATGGCGAGAATGAGATACAGCTAGTAATAAGTGATATGTTCCTCTATTCCTATTTGAGTGATGAGAGAGGTAGAGAGAGGAGAATACACAACTCATTGCTCGCATGATAGAAATTATTCTGTTTTAAAAGAAAAATATTCGGTTTCTTATATGTAACTGTAAGAAGCCGTTTCTCCTGGATCAAACTTAGTGTTAAGTACCACAATTAGCCCCAATTATAAGTTTTTAATTGATAACTTAGGCACTTTTGAACACCCTAAACTAAAACATGGATGAAATTGTGAACGAACCAAACCCTACATGGCAAATTGGCAAAGGACCCACCCAGCTTCTCTTTTCTTTTCTGCTTTCTAATCATCAGAGGACCAGTTGAGTTTTATAACTTGTGTGGCCTGGATAATTGACAATTGAGAAGACTTGAACCAACAACCACAATATCATCAGACAACAAAAGCGACATAGCTGTATGGAACGGTCGGGGGCCAGTGCGCACGTGATATTCACCAGAGTGATATGGTCACTGTCCGTGACATGGAAGACAAACTCAAAGGTTTTACTCAAGGGTCACATTTTTTGTTAGGTCGAACAACTATATCTTGAGTTCAGATCATTTTCGGATCTCTGTGTTGAGAGCTGACGGACATTAAAATTCGGATTTTTCAGAAAAGAGAGATTTGGACTGTTCAAGAGCTTGGTTTTGAGTGAGTTGAGCTCGTAAAATAGACTAATAGAAACCGCAAAATTTAAATTGCGTGATCTGAATTTTCGAGTTTGTCGTTTCCGAACGCAGGAATCCAAAAATGATCTGAATTCCTATATCTTTATCGATGGCTATCACCTATCTACGACTCTACTTTTGTATTTGATATGGGAGCTTCGGAGTAATTTCCATTTTATTCCCCATGCTTTTTCTACCTTAACAATCAGATATGGGAAATACTAGATAAAGAAATGAAAGCTGGACCCCCTACCCAAAGTTGAAAGTGAGAGAACAATGGAAAATTTTAGGGTTGGTTTCGGTTACCGTGACAATAGCGTATCGGGTAGAGTTTCATATGATTTGAGATACGTATATTGGATATACCACTGTAGCGCGATATTGTTAATCAATAACTCATTGCTACATGGAAAATTTTAGGGTTGGTTTCGGTTACCGTGACAATAGCGTATCGGGTAGAGTTTCATATGATTTGAGATACGTATATTGGATATACCACTGTAGCGCGATATTGTTAATCAATAACTCATTGCTACATGAAAAATTTTAAACACGCGACATTGTTTTGCACTATTAGTTCAGATAGGTAAGTCTTTCTCCTAATGCAGGGGTCATAAACTCATAAATTCATAATGGACATATATGAGAAAGAAAGTTGGAACTTTTAAGCATTGTTTTGAGAGATTCTCTCATGCAATCAAATTTTAATATCATTGGCTTTATCACCATGTATATAAAAAGTGCACTAGTTGTTCAATGGACAATTACCACGTGAGTTAGTGATATGAAAGAATCTCGCATCCGGAAGAAAATAAAATTTTAGTTCGACTAGCATTCTTCCACTTGACACAAGTACTGGCGGATGCATTAAGAGCAGGGGATCAGCTGACACCCCCCCTGGCGAACTTCAGTAAATGTCTAGGGATAACTTGAGTGCTGACCCTTCGAACTTCGGTGAATGTCCATGAATGACTTAGGTGCTGCTCCTTTAAAGGTTGGAGTTGCCCTTCATATATGCCCTTCAACTACTTGATAAAATGCATTAGAGAGGTGTTGCCCCTTTACAGTTTAGTCTTAAAATTATTTACCTCTGGCTTGTTTGTTGGTTGTGATTACAATTGTAGGCAGAAAAAAAGAACCAAGTAAAAAACTATCCAAAAATGCAAAGTAAATGAAATGGTGATCTCAGAGAATAACAAAGCATCATCATTCTTGGATAAATATATTAATGGAATGCAATGATATCAAACATTGTTAGTGTGTTCAAGATAAGTGTGTTTCTTTGTTAAGTATTCATATGGGAGTAGCCTTAGAACATGTTAGTTATTCACGCAAATGATGCATTAACAGGTGTGTAGTATGCCTTTCCAAATGACTTCAGGCCTACCAAGACTCGATGAAATGACGATATGCATGCTATTTCTGTTAAAAAAAATTTACGCGTGCAGCGCGCTATTCTTACTGACCTCCCTAATATTATTTCCTGGATCCACCATTGGACCCAAGAATCCAAGCCGACAGTATGCAAATAACAAATGCTGCATGCATGACTGCAAAAGCCTGATGCCAGAAACTATTCATGAAGAAAAGAGATTTCAGCAGTACAAGTTAGGCCTACCAATCTAATTGGATTCGGAGGACACCTTTTTGTTTGGCTAGAAACGGAGGAGGGTACACCTTCAAGTTACTGTCCAGTCTGTCCCTTCCACGATCTTGCACCGGGTTCGAAACTGTAAATTGATGCGTGGGGTTACAAATTATAAATTCCAAGTCACTGTAAGCCGCTAAAATGGAATGAGGATAATGTAGGTATCATAGCAAATCTTGCATATGGTCATCCATACACTTGTATATACTCTTACATGTACGGAGCAAAGATCGCATCGATGCATCTGTCTTAATCTTCGATCAAAAGATCACAATGCATCGATGCATGGACATGTCATTTAGTGTATGTAAAAGGCTTACCACTGACATCATCAATCGCAGTAGTTGAAACTCGAAAGCAATGAAGTTGTCATATTATCGATATCCTTCAGCAGCTTCTCGTTCTCCTGGTTCCCCCTCCGTATCCCAACTTGTAAAGCTGCATACCGACATTATATTAGCCACTTAGAAAGACTCATTATCTTATCACAGTGCATCCAAGGGGCAAAAGCTATACTATAACGAGCCGCTTAATCAAAAAATCTACCGCTGCATTAGAACAAGCTGAATTGAGAAGTGAGAATTTTTCAGAAGCTGAAATATGCTTCATGGAATAACTGAATTCTGTCGCGGGTTATAAACTTACAAATGGTAAGACTTGGCATGGGCCTCGCACAACTAGTTGCGATTTTCACGGTATACATGCAGTCTCAAGTAAGTATTTTATCAGCGTGACAACATCGTTAAAGAATATCGTCCAAGTTTGGATCAAAACACGTAGTATACTAGCACAAATCCTAGTATGTATATGCAATTCGAATACGTTAGAACATCTCTTTTTAGTCAAAGAACAAGAGTACTTTCATATGAAAAACCCATTGCACTTCCATTCCTATTCTCTTACTCTTTTGACATCTTAACCGGAAGAGAAAGTGGCATGATAATGTTAGGGGCTCGTTCAGTGCATACGATTGAACTGGATAACTCACTAGATTCAACTACAAGAGTGATATATGTGTTTAATACAAACTATTGACAGGAGACTTGGTACCTAAGCCGTAAAAGAACAAATTAAAGTGGGCAAAAATAGGTAAAGGTATATGTACCGGAGTTGCAACTATTAAGATCTTCGAGAATTCCTTCAACAAATGCCAGCATTGAGTTCTTCAGACCATTGTTCTTCTCTTCCAATAAGCGAATTTCATTTTCGAGGAACTCTTTTTCCGACATAAGAGCTTGTAATTCGTTATCGTTACCATTCTCGATGTCCTTCTGGAACTCTAAGCACAATGCGATAAACCTTTCCCTGTAACAAAACAAATCATTCAGCTAGCCTTTAGTACCTAAAATGCCGATATCAATTACGCTCCTAAGTTCTTTCGAAATCCTTAAACATTCGTATGAAATCGAAACTGAAATGCTCGTTGTATACCGCTGGTCATGGATTCTGCGAAGAGTCTCATCGCGATTTGCTCTTAGACAATGCAATTCCTTCTCCAAAACCTCAACCGAGTTCCTCAAATCCTCTATTAATAAATACACAAATAAATCACAAAATTAAGTGATTGATTAGCTAATAATACTCCAATTACGGGTAATCAAACGAGATAATCTGGGAAGGGAACTTACTGGCGACGGTGAGTAGTCCGGTGAGCTCAAAGTGCGAAAGGTAGAGCGTCTTGGTGAGGTCGGATTCTTTAGCGGACAGAGCGCTTTCGATTTCGGAGCATTTGACGATCTCCGACTCGATCTCCCGCGTTATCTGAATATTCGCTTCGATTTCTTCGTTCACCTGATTTCACAATCGCAAGAAGTTTCTTTTTCGATCGATGACGATGTGGTACTAAAAAGGGGGAGAATTGGGGGAATGGAAACGTTGAATGGCATTGGAGATGGCGGAGGAGATGGAGTGTACCTGGTCGAGCATGTCCTTGTAGGTTGAGATTTGGCAGAGGATCGCACCGGAATCCTCCATTTCTCTATCTTTTCCGGTGACTCTGCGACTCTGTGTTCAGTTCAACGGTCGTTTCTTTTTCCAGGTCTCCCGCCTTTTTATATCTACAAAATATTCCAATCATTAAGCCAAAACGCAGCGTTTTCACCGGGATTGGACCGGTTTTCCTTTACGGTTTCAATACAAATCGGTTTTTCTTAATTTTGACTACGAGAACCGAGTTGAACCGGACTGGACCGGACCAGTTCTAATTTGGTTCGATTTCCCGCCATTCTTGGTCTTCGCCCACGTGTTTCCTCAGAGATTCTCTCCCCTTTTAGTCTCCATCCTCTTCTATTTGAACGATTATGGTTAAACCACGCACAAACTCAACCAATCACCTCAACTTGTCCCTTTTGGCTCCTTGACTCAGCTCCTTCATCCTTAGGCCATCTCCAACCGAAGGGTCCAGAGGGCCGAAAATAGCCCTAAAACCGTCTCCAACCGAAGGCTAGGCCAGAGGGCTCGGGAATCTGGGAGGGCCCCACGGGATTGGAGAGGGCTGGAGGGGCTGGCTGGCTATTTTTTTTTTAATGTTTCTCATTTCTGTCGGTTATAACCGACAGAAATAACAATTTGAATTTAAACTTCCAACGGCTAGCGCCACTAGCCGTTGTAAACCTTTTTTTTTTTTTTATGAATTTAAACCTTTTTTTTTCTTTTTTTTTTCTATAACTTCCTATAACTTCTATTTTACAAAATTTTGTTTCAATTTTTTTAATTCTATTTTTCCTATAACTTATATTTTACAAAATTTGGTTCATATTTTTTTCATATAACTTCTATTTTACAAAATTTGTTTCATATTTTTTTTAAATTCCATTTTTTTCCTATAACTTCTATTTCACAAAATTTGTTTCAATTTTTTTAATTCTATTTTTTTCCTATAACTTATATTTTACAAAATTTGGTTCATATTTTTTTCATATAACTTATATTTTACAAAATTTGTTTCATATTTTTTTTAAATTCCATTTTTTTCCTATAACTTCTATTTCACAAAATTTGTTTCATATTTTTTTTAAATTCTATTTTTTTCCTATAACTTCCTAAACCATTATACAACATTAAATTAAATTAAGTAACATGAAACAACATTAAACAATATGAAACAACATTAAATAACATTAACCAACATAAAAATTATACAACACTAACCAACATGATTTTTAAATAAAATTAAGTTGTAGTTTTTAAATAATAAATTATGTTTGGCCCTATGGCCCTTTGGCCCTCGGTTGGAGACGGTTTTCTGTGACAGGGCTAAAACGAGCCCTCTGGCCCTCTGGCCCTCGGTTGGAGACGGATGCAAATATGGCCCTGTACTGTTCATTAAAATATTAATATCTTGGAGAATCTTGGAGGGCCAGAGGGCTAAAACGAGCCCTCTGGCCAGCCATCGGTTGGAGATGGCCTTAGCTCCTCCTTTGCCCTCTCTCTAACCAGTCCTCACTCTCCGTCCTGCTCAACCTAAGATTTTAAGAGAATTAGATTAATCTCTATTAAAATCCATAAATTTATAAATTTATTAAAATATCTCAAAATCTCAATTAATACACGAAGCGGAATTCCGCTAAAACTAGATATGCTATAGTTTAAAACCATGATATGGCCAAAGTGCATTAAGTTAAACGCTGCGTTTTGAGGAAGCCCTGCCCAACCCTACGTTGAAAGAAATTGAAGCCCAAAATTTCATAAACATAGTACCGCCTCTCTGCTTCTCTCCCTCCCTTCATCTCCACCATTCCCTCTCTTTTGGCGGCACGGCACTGAGTGATCGACTGCGGCGGCGAGTACGGTAAGCTTTTTCCACCCATCGCTTCCTCTGTTTCTCTGTCTGTCTGTCTGTCTGTCTGTCTCTCTCTCTCTCTATATATATATCTAATATATATACAGCTCAGCGGTGCTGTTTACTCGCTATATTCCTAAACTCTATTGCACTCGCCGCCGTGTGCAGCGTTTCCCCGCGTCGTGATGGGAGGCTCGCGAGCTCAAGTGAATAAGCAGCACAAGACGCGCTTCGCCTCCAAATCTTCTCGCAATCTCCACAAAACTTCAGGTTCTCTTTTTATATGCTTCTACTCTCTCACGCTTCCTTTTGATGGAACCTCCTTTTCGTCGAGAATTTGAGAAAACGGCTATGAATTGCAATCGCTGTGTGTAAAGGGAGTGTTTTTGGTGTTTCAGAGAAGAGTAGGATCGGTAAACCGGAGCGCAATGTCACTAAGGGGGCTCGGGCTGCTCGCGTTCAGCGGAGCAAGATGGTAATTGATTTCAAAATTTCGTTTTTCTGTCATTTCGGTTTTCGGTATGTATGTCTGATTTGTATGTCTAATTCACAATTTTGATACTGTGTAGCTTCGGGAGCAGAAGAGGGCGGCTGTTTTGAAAGAGAAGAGGGCTTCGAGTGGATCAGCAAGTCCTCCCCGTGTGATTGTGAGTTTTTGTTTTTCAGTTGGAATTGATGGAGGAAAGTGTTTCGAGTGGATTAATAATTTAATACACAATTAGGATGTTTTTACTCAGCTTTCTTATCTTTCTAACTTTCAACAATGGCAGGTTTTGTTCGGACTTTCTGCTGATGCGAACCTGAATTCACTTGCTGGGGATCTTTTATCGTTGCTATCTCCACAAGGTTATGAAGCCGCATTTCCAACGGTTGCTTCTCCTGAGTACAAGCTCAGAACAACGGTACCCTGCCTCTGCTGCTGTATTCTAAATTCTAATGGAATGACTCTCATATAAATGTTTTGTCTGGGCCGAGTAATTAACATTGATGACTGATGTGAATAATTGTATCCAACTCATGTCATTTTTTAGGTATTGAAAGCACCTCATGGCGATCTTCCAACATGTATGGAAATGGCTAAGGTAAAAAAGTCTGACACTTGTGTACTCTTCCTAATTTTGCTGGTGTTTTTTCTGACATCGTAAACTCTTTGACTTGTAGGTTGCTGATCTCATTGCTTTTGTGGCATCAGCGAGCTCTTCACATGAAGGAAGCACGTCTGACTACATTGACTCTTTTGGAAGTCAATGTCTTTCTGTTTTTAGGTCCCTTGGTTTACCAAGCACTGTGGTGCTAATTCGTGTACGTTGTCCATATGCTTCATATATTCCTGGAAATACTAGAAAAATAGGAAAGGTTGTGCTCAACTTGACGTAGGATTTATTCTTCTATCTTTTTGACGTTTCGTGCATATAGGATCTACCTGCTGATGTGAAAAGAAGACATGATTCTAAGAAAATATGTATGTCTAGTCTTGCTTCGGAATTTCCTGAGGATTGTAAATATTATCCAGCTGATACAAAGGATGATTTGCACAAGGTAACTGTTGACTCTAGATTCTTTATCTTAGGCTAATGCTTTCAAAGTTAAAATTCAGAGTGGGTTACAGTTCAAATGACATTTATTTTGTTTCATATTTTACATAATTTGATGCCTCTCATAGATTTCCTTTGTCATCTTACTATAATTGCAGTTCATGTGGCTCTTTAAGGAACAAAGGCTTTCAATTCCTCACTGGCGAAGTCAACGGCCTTACGTGATGGCCCAGAAGGTGTTCATTTACGTTTTCGCTATCATTCTTTTTAGGTAGAGGTAGAAACCATAAGAAATTTTAGGGGTGAAGTTTTTGTAGCTTGTTGAGGCATATTCGCCTTGTAGAAGAACAACTAGTTTCATCAGTGTAACAACACATTTTGTATTTTGATAGGTTGATATGGTAGCAGATGATTCCAGTTTGGGAAAGTGCACCCTTCTTCTTACTGGATATATACGTGCTCGCAGTCTTCCTGTGAACCAACTGGTGATTAGTTCATCCAAAGACTTGTCCTTGGTCACATGATTTGGAAGTTGTCTTATTTTTCTTTATATCAGGTTCATGTTTCTGGCACGGGGGATTTCCAGCTGTCCAAAATGGAAATTCTCAAGGACCCATTTCCTTTGAATGCAAGAAAAGAGCAAGATGCCATGGACTCAGATGAAGTGGGTGATAGAGAGGTATTAGCCTTTTCATTTGTATATAAGCACGATGTCTCTAGAATAAATTATTTCCTTTTTAATGATAAGATTTGATGCGATTAATTTATTTTGTGAAGTGTTTCTCATTTGAAATTTTAATATTCAAGTTCCTTCTGTCCTCTTTTTCTTCTTCAAGGTCCTTCGTTCTTTGGTTCCCGATCCTATGAAGCAGGAGGCTTTACTAGTTGAGAATGTTCCTGATCCCCTTGCTGGTGAACAGGTAACAAGATTACATTTGTTCTATTAATTATGTCTTGCTTATTTCCATTAACATAAATGTGGGTTGATATTAAGAATATGGCTTGTATATTGCATTATTGCTAATCCAAGAATGAATGAATAAAACAAAAATAGGGGGATTTCAGTGGAATTGCATGAACTATGAAAGTAGAATGTCATGCTATTAAAAATTTTCACCGGAGCATTTTCAGACTTCAGAGTCGTATACCGCTCGGCTAGTATGATATACTTCTGGATTTTCTTAAATTTACTATTAGGTTTGGTGAATTATTGGATTGGTTGTGGGACAAGTTACAACTTGACTCAAACATAAATTCTTTTTTGTCAGACATGGCCAACAGAAGCAGAAATGGCTGAGGCTGAAGAAAGTCAGAAGCAAAAGAAGAAGAAAAAGAGGGCTCTTCCTCGAGGCACTTCAGAATACCAGGTCTGCATTTTTTCTTGTCAGTTCTCGTAAGTCTGAATGTTTCTTTCTTATATATTAGTCACATCTTTGTTTGTTCGTGTTGAGAGGTAATGGACAAACTTTAGTGATATATCAGAGGCATGATTTCGGTTCTTGCAGGCTGCTTGGATTGTGGATGATACAGATGAAGAGGAGTCAAGTACTGATGATGAAGCTGATGGTATGGTATTGGATGAGAGGGACGGTGGTTATCCTGGTCAAGATGACAATAATTATTCAGATGAGAGTGACGATCAAGCTTCAATAAGGGACGCTGATGGAGAAACTGATATTGATTCAGTGATGATGGTGAGGTTAACATGTATATTATATGTGCATCAAGTGATCTTTATTGTGTTACCAGAATTAGTCAGTCTCTCTGTTCTCATTGAAAGTGTTTCTGATCTAACATGAAGCACAATAATTAATATGGAATACTATTTTGGTGTTACTGTCATTTTCAAATGCGAAGAACCGTAAGATTTAAGAATATCAAAATACCAACCACACCCTCTAGCCATGGAATCGCAAAGGTAAACTCTGGTCAGTTGCTTTTGGTCAAATATTACTTCTTAATGGTCAGAATCCTAGTGTTTCTCTAGGGAAGCTGAGTCACTGACATACTACAGACAATAGGTTTTAAACAAGGTGTGTGAACCACTCACCGTAGTTGTTTGAATTAGAATGTTGCATAGGAGGATTCACTCACGAGTTTTTCTATGTCGTTGGTTCTTTCTCTATCCAACCCCACTTAGTGGGAAAAGGCTTTGTTGTTGTTGTTGGTTCTTTCTCTATCTATGAGCATTTTCATTAATATGTAAAGAATTCATCTGTGATCATTTAAGGTTTAAGTAAGTTTTTCAAAAAGGAAAGGGACACAATGCGTATTTGTCTGTAAGAATTCAATTGTTGCTGTACTTGTACTGATCAGAATGGTAATATTTATGTGCTGCAATTAAGAAGTTTATTTTGTTTGTTTGAGTTCTATACATTATAAGACTTACCTTTTTAGTATTTGTTTTACAGGAAGGTGAAAACCTGACTAAGGAACAGTTGGAGAATGAGATCCGAAAAATAAAGCAAGCACATGCTGATGACGAGGGTGCTTGTCTTTTTAACTTTGTTCTTTCTGTCACTATATGATTTATATTCTAAAAACTGTATCTGTAGCACCTTTAGGTCAATGTATTAGTGCTGCATTCTCTAGTTGGCTTATAATGGTTATATGTTATGTTTCAGAATTTCCGGATGAAGTCGATACACCATTAGATATTCCAGCAAGAAAACGTTTTGCTAAATATAGGGGCCTGAAGTCCTTCAGGACCTCTTCATGGGATCCCAAAGTAATATTCTTGTAATTGTGTAATACTCGTTCACCCTACTTGCATCAAATTAAACTGACATACGTCTATGATGAACTTCAGGAGTCTCTGCCTGCAGAGTATGCCAGAATCTTTGCATTCGATAATTTCAACAAAACACAGAAAAATGTCCTTGCTAAAGCGTTAGAAATGGACCAAGAAAACAGTGACGAGTGTGCCACAGCTAGCTCATATGCAAGGCTGTATATTAGTGAAGTGCCAACTAGCGTCGCTTCTAAATTATGTATGCGTGCAAAGACAATTCCTGTCATAGCATGTGGTCTTTTGCAGCATGAGTCCAAGATGTCTGTACTTCATTTCAGGTATCTTCTAGCTGAGAAAAATTTGCAGTTTTGTTGTCTTTTTAAGGGTAGGTTTTCTCATGATTCCCGGTGATCTATGTTTTGCAGCATAAAGAAGCACGACACGTACAGTGCTCCTATCAAATCTAAGGACGAATTAATATTTCATGTTGGCTTTCGCCAATTCATTGCCAGGTAGTATCTCTGATGCCACCAACTCTTCTATTTATTGAATTTTAGCGATTGACGCTTTCGCTCTTCACTTTGCAGGCCAATATATTCTACTGACAACATGAACTCAGACAAGCATAAGATGGAGAGGTTTCTACATCCAGGACGTTTTTCCATGGCTTCGATTTATGCCCCAATCTCTTTTCCTCCACTTCCTTTGATAGCTTTGAAGAGTTCTGAAGGGGTGGCCGCTGCACTTACCATAGCTGCTGTTGGTGCACTGAAATGCATTGACCCTGACCGAATTATACTAAAGAAGATTACTTTAACCGGGTATGATTCATTCTTGACTCCTGGGGGTGGCGACCTTTGTGGTACAAATGTTTTCCTTTGAAAGTTTTGACGTATTGAACCGTAAGCATATTTGATGCAGTTACCCTCAACGAGTATCAAAACTGAAGGCTTCTGTAAGATACATGTTCCATAACCCAGAGGACGTTAAATGGTTCAAGGTGAGATTGCAGATAATCTTTTATTTTTTAAACTTGTGTTGTTGTATCGAGAAAATTCAATACAATCACTACGGGTATGTTTTTTAATGTCCTTGGTGGTGGCAGCCTGTTGAAGTATGGACCAAATGTGGTCGTCGTGGTCGCATCAAGGAGCCTCTTGGTACACATGGTAAGATTACATAGCAATCTGTTTCTCTTTTCGTCTCACCTCTTTTTGTTACATCGAATTTTCTTCAAGTCGCTGAAATCTCCGACAATGCCCAAATAGTTCAGAATAGATTGTGCTCTGTTGTTGCATTTAGTGAGTTATGAAGTGCGTTTTCTTCCGTACGATTTTGTTTCAGGGGCACTGAAGTGCATCTTCAACGGGGTCCTCCAGCAGAGTGACACCGTATGCATGAGTCTGTACAAGCGTGCGTATCCCAAGTGGCCGGAACACCGCTTCCCAATCCTCGATGCTTGATACGATTGTGTGCGGGCACGCGACACTCATCCTTAAGAGTGCTTCCCGAATCTTATGCTTGATAAGATGGCGTCTTGGACGCGTGAAACTTCCTTCAGAGATGGCTTTCCAGCGCAGAAGAAAAGTCACGCGTCTTGTATATGGGAATGAAGCTCTGGTTCAGATTATTGTTTCCAGTTTTCAGTTTTGCCCTGCTCGGACACCCGAATCGGGTGTCGAGGACGTAGCTGTAAGATCACTCCTGCTTTTCTTCGTTTGGACATTTTACGAGAACGAAGATTTGTTTGTGTGTTGTATTGGTTCTCCATTCTAAATTTCTAAGTAATACCAGTGTGCCATATATGTTAGCGTCGGGGTTCAGCAAAACGATTTAGCTGAAGGTATATCAACTATGTTATAAAAATTCTCGCATATCGCCGCCTAAGCTCTGCTTAGGTGCTGCCGCTAGCGGTTGCTCTGATTGGTCTCTAAGCGTTTACAAATCAAGAAATTGCGCTTTGACTGCTGAGGCATCCGCCTAGCGTGCTCATTCGCCCACCTGAACCCACCTAATCATATATCTAGATCGCGGTTCTTACTTAAACAAAAAAATGATAACTTACATTTTGCATTTTATTTTGTCAATAACGTAAGACTTATTTCAATGAAATGTAAGTAACTTTATCATTTTGCTAAGGTCATTTTTATCAACCTTGTCAGAATTTTGTCAAAACGAGTTATGTTGGAAGGACTATTGCTCCAATTGGGTTAAAATTGAGGGACCATTTCTCCGGTTAGATTAAAGTTGATAGACTAATGGTAATTGATTTTTAGTGAGGGACTATAGCCGCATGTTTTGATGAGTTGAAGGACTAATGGTAATGAATTTTTAATTAAAGGACCATTGCTCCAATTGAGTTAAAGTCAAGGAACCATTACTACAATTTACTTGACTTATTAAATACTTGGATGATTATCATAATACAATTATGTATTTTAAAATAAAAATACGTACTTATTTACCCAATAAATGATAAAGTTACTTAAAGCTGCTAGGTCCCGCCTAAGCGATAGATCCAAACCCGCCGCTCGACTAACACCGAGTATCTTTTAGAACCTTAACTATCCATCATTTTATTATTTTTAGCTTCTAAAGTAGTAATAACAGTACGTAATTCAATTGTGATATTGTCCAAAACAGAAAATTTCAAATACAAATGTTATAAGCCTTGAAAATGGTTCAAAACTATAATTTCTCAGCAAAAGCAGAAGAAAAATAAAAAGATAAAATCTACCGAGACTCTTCAAACTCATCCAATTTCTCTCTCTTCTTCATTTCAATTTCATACTTCCTCAGCCTCTCCTGCACTTTCTCCTGCAATCACAAAAACCCAACAAATAAATCAGATTAACAAATAAATTAGAAATTCGATAAATTCATGCTATTAATCCAGTGTTTGGCAGCTGAGAAAGCTGTAATTTTCTTTTGCGAGGAATTCCCGGAAACCAAACAGAGACAGACAGCGAATTAAGAATATGAATATTCCAGTGACCTTGTAGCTTTTCTCGGCGCGGTCCATGACGTAGAAGCCGAGAATTCCACCGAGAATGGTGCCGGAGATGATCCGGACATAGGCCCAAGTATTCCCTGCCATTTTCCCTCTCGCTTTCTTTCCTTGATTTTCTCGGAAAAGTTTCAAGCTGCGCCCACAGACGGTGGACGTGGATCTCTTGACTTGTAAATGTGTCGAGTCGGACGGGTCAGTGAACCGGTTAAAAGATCCAATAGGCCTACCATGGTTGTGGGCTTATTTATTTGAGCTTCTCTCAATTGGGTTTGGCTTGAGTTTGGGTCGAAAAAAAATGGCAATGATTTGGTAAGGGTTATCTCGACATCGGCATGTCACTCGGGGCACAAGTTACAGTTAAAGTGGGTTAGTGGTGGCACTTCAACATATATGTCACGTGATGTTACGGTTATAATCAAAACGTATGGTGACAATGCTACAAATTGGAAGTTTCACTATTCGTCCCTTGCATTCATAACACGACATTGGCAAGTTAAGCATGGCATTTGTTATAGTTTGAGTGGATATTGATATTACTTTGGCATGTATATCACGTGATGTTACGATTACTATTAAAACGTTTTTGTGTCACGGCTGTAACTCGTATGTTAACTATTTGTCTCTCTTATTCATTACACGACATCAGCGTGTCACGCATGTCATGAATTATAGTTTGAGTGGACATTGATACCACTTCAGCATGTATGTCATGTGGTGTTGTGGTTACTATTAAAACATTTTTGTGTCATGGCTGTAAATCGCACGTTAACTATTTGTCTCTCTTATTTATTACATAACATTAGCATGTCACGCATGTCATGAATTATAATTTGAGTGGATACTAACACACTTCGGCATGTATATCATGTGGTGTTGCATTTACTATTAAAACGTTTTTGTCTCACGGTTGTAAATCGTACGTTCACTATTTGTCTCTCTTATTCATTACACGACATCAGCGTGTCACACAGGTCATGAATTATAGTTTGAGTGGATATTGTCACCACTTCGGCATATATGTCACTTAGTGTTGCGGTTACTATTAAAACGTTTTCGTGTCACATCTGTGAATCGTACGTTCATTATTCGTCTCTTGTATTCATAACACGACATCAACATGTCAGGCAAGGCATGAGTTATAGTTTGAGTGGATACTTGACACCACTTCAATATGTATGTCACATGGTCTTACAGTTACAATTTAAAATGTTTTTATGTCAGGGCTGTAAATCGTATGTTCATTATTCGTCTCTCGTATTCATAACACGACATTGACATGTCATGAAAAAAATGAGTTATAGTTTGAGTGGATACTGACACCACTTCGGCATGTAAACCACATGTTGTTACGATTACATAAAATGTTTCCTTGAGAGTGCTATAAATCATAAGTTCATTATTCATCTCTCGAATACGGAAATCAACAGAAAGACTGTATCTCCTTAGATTTGATTTTCAATACATTTCTATAATCTACTCATTACTTTTCCAAAGAAAGTAATTGTTAGAGCAGCTCCAGCGGGAGCTTGTGCTCGAGGGACAGGATGCGGAACATGGCCAGATAGCGCGAGTGGGGAGGTCCAGCTTGTGCTGGCGATGGAGCTCGAGTGGCCCCGAAGGAGAGGCATGGCAGGAGTTGCCAGCCCGAGAGCTCGAGGTGGAGGTGATGCATGTTGACGTCAGGGTGAAGATGCAAGGATTTTCTCATGGATTTTCCGGTCCAGGAGGAGCCTGGAGTCTCAGTTTTGGTCGTCGGACATCATCTCGTCGAGGGTTTGGGACTGGGTCGGTCGAGTCAGAGACTGATTTGTCCCGGCAAGTTGTAGCGACGATGGTTGGGGAGAAGGAGGGGAGGAGAGGGGCTTGGAGGGCGAGGAGGTTGGAGAGGGATCTTGACTGCGAGAAGGAGAGGGTTTGACTGGAGATGAAGCTCAGGTTAAAAGATATGGGTTTTTTTTACGGGAAACAGAGGACTGAGAGCTCTGAGAGCTTGGTGGGGGAATTAAGTGAATGGGAAAGAAAACCTAGAAGTGGGATTTTGTGGGGATGCAAGGATTGAAAGAAAGTAAATATTTTGTATTATTTTATAAATAAATAAAATACTATTATTTTATTGCCTATTGCCAAGGCTATTCAAATGTAGGGGTGGAGATGTAAAAAGTAATTACTGTTAATTAAAGGCGGTTGTTGTTCACTGGGTGGATAGCATAGTGGATAGCCCTAGGGGGCCTCCACCACGTTGGAACTTCTCTTAGCATGAAGTAAAAATTTATGGGAACAGAAAACACATAATTTCTTTCAAATACTGAGATATTTGCAAACCTTGCTCATTTCCCATCATTTTTATTTTTGTTATTTTGATTGATATAATTAAAACTCATTAATGTACAATTGGGCTTCTTGTGGTTGAACTACATTTAAGTTATGTGAGTATAAAGCTGATGATAAATGCAGAGTTGAAAGAAGAAATTGAAGTATATATTCGAAGCTGTTTACTGCTAAAGGAGTGTTATGCGGTCGAGGTCGAGGTCGAGATCGATCGGAAGTTGAGAATAGCAAGAACTGCGCCGTGTCATTTGTCCATGCAAAAATTAATACTTAACACACAATCTGCTAAATATACTCACGTTTAATTAAGTGAGTATTTGGCAGATTGTGTGTAATTAGCAAGTTTTGTCATATTTTTTGCATGGCCAGAGGTCACTTGGTGAAGTTCTTCTGCCATTCTCAACGTCCTCGATCGAAGAATCCTATTGCAGTAAACCGGTCCGAATACTTCCAATCATCCTCCAACTCTGCATGCATATGTCATCACTTTATACTCACATTTCTTGTGTGACCTCTGCAATTGATTCAAAAGAGACCTCTTTAGCTTCTCCAGTTCTTACTAGGATGAGCAAAATACCCATGGCTATGAGTAACTGCGGTTACCTGCCCATTTAAAATTCACTGTTATAGTTATAGGTGACTATTTAAATAAATAAACGGTTATAGGTATAACTGTTTACTCGTGAAATTTAAATGGGTAATTATGGATAATACATGCGGTTATAGGTATAACCGTTTACATTTCTTGTTTAAGAACTTCTTACACTACCATACCCACAGCATCCACCAAAATTACAATTCTGTTCAATCCAAGTTTCAGTTATAAGGTAGTACACCAGTCCATGTTCTTATGGAGAATTTTTCAGAACACGGTTACTATTTTACTCAAATCATAACACCTAGATTTGTTTTTAATTAATATACTCTAGAAGTGGAATATTTATATATCCACTATGTCATTCATCTGTATTATAACACGTGAAATAATAGCTTATATATCAACCTATATCTCGCTACACTGAAACTTGCCAGCACTGAAATAACAAATTAAAGTGAGATGGCGAAGAGCAATCCACCCGGCACCACCTAGTGAATAGTGCCATGCACGGACGACGAGTATATTAGTGAGAGAGAGAGTGAGAGCGTAGAAATACAAGCCTCTCTCAAAGCGTTAGAAACACAAACCAAAGCCTCTCTCAAGAGATCACTGATTCAGTAGAGATAACTCAGTCAGGCTTTTCTTACATATTTCTGTGCAGGTATTTTCATGTGATCAGAAGGAAGAATCAATGGCAGCACCAGCAGCAAGGTATCTTGTCGTGGTGGTTGACGGATCAGCAGCTATGGGACCCTACTGGAACACCAAATTCTCAGATTACCTTGAAATTCAAGAAATTCAAACAATGAGACTTGGGGGGCAAGTCACACATCCAAACATGGAATACCTATGCATTCCGCGACCCTTTTCAGGTACTCAAAGACCAATAAGCCTTGGTCCTCTGCGCCCTCGAGCAAGCCAAAGAAATTTCTCAGGAGAGTGTGGAACAAAATTAATTGGTGCCTTTGTTGCAGGACAGCAGTTGCAATAGCAAGTATAATACCTCGCAGATTATATGGTGGGGTGGAGCTTGCTGCTAGTTCTAACAAGACACCCCAAGACGAAACATACGTTCCAGCATAGGAGGTAAAAATACAGCTTCATGCATAGGTTAATCAGTCTAATTTAGCTTCAGTTCAACAAATCATTTTTTGAGTTTCCTGATTAAGTGTGATCAGACTTGTTGGTTAATTTACCTTTGCCTGCTTTCAGGGAACGATATCTGCTATGTATCCCGATCAACTAATTCCGGTCGGCCGAGCCAAGGTATGACTAAGTAATCATCTGCACTTGTTCATCTGCAATGAAGCGCTTGTTCATCTGCACTTGCTCAAAACCGACTATTTCGCTAAACATATGATACGAGACTTTAGTGCTTACTGTAACAGGCTTATAGGAAGGCCTCAACACCACAGCAGTATGCCCCGACCGATACAACGATTGAGAGGAGAGGACATCGAATCCCCACGAGTTTTAGGGTTTCGGGAACACAAAACCGAACGAAATGGACTCCGCAATGATTTGTAGAGTCTAGTAAGAAATAGGGCTCGGTCGAACACACGAAATCATACCAACATAATGTAAACAGTTCTCATAGTACCAATTGTTTGTGGATCTTCGCAATGTAAAAGGAAATGTTTGAGTGTTCGCTTGACAAAACATCCTATGCAGTATTAACGTTACAAGACACACAACATGATTCTTAGATCCATTACAAAATATACACAAAAGGGTTTTTGTACAAAGCTCAATCCAAGGTATTTATATAAGCCTTCGGACGGTCAACTTTCGGCGAAAAAAATAGGAGGAGAAGAAACCATGGCAGCAACTCTCACAACAGACTGCCCTGGGGTAAGACGTATCGACATGTTCAATCATCTATAACAGACTAACAGTAATCTGCAGCTGGGTATGTAGCACATGCCAAATCCTGAGGAAAAAAGGACGGATATGCATGGGCTTTCTCGAACTTAATCAACTATTGGCCGGGGTTTTCTTCTTCAACCTTACGGCCTTCTGACTGGATTGCTGCTGCGGAGTTGGCTCAACAAGCAGCAAGCGTGACATGGCATACGCCAATAGTTCTTCTCGGTGCGAAAATGTGAAGTCCAGATGGGCGTACTCAAATTCACCATATGATACATCGACACCTGATTCGTCCATCAACTTATAATGTTTTCTGACCATTGATGGCCGAATTACCTTGTCCTTTCGTCCAGCAACCAGATCAACTGG